TCGCTCTGATTGTCACACGCATAATTAGCTAAACCGCTGAAGGAATTGCTTAATTTATGCTAATTCGCGTCAAGTTGAATTTAATTTTTAACCATGCGTAACGCATTCGCCGGGTGTCAATTGCATTGCGGGGCAGCATTCAGCCAGTCAGTCAGTCAGTCAGTCAGCCAGGCCAGGGTTGCATTTAATTGAAAAGCTCAGCCCCAGTGTGTGTGCGTGTGTGTGTTTGTGTTTGTGTGTGTGCAAAACAAATTGTAATCAGCGGCATTCGGAGTTTTTCAAGTGGTCTGCAGCAGACTCTGGAACTGGGCGCTGCGTCTGTTTCAGTTGTTTGGTTTTAATATGCCCCGCACCCATTAAAAATCGCTAGGAAGGGTATACTAACATAGAGCAAATCTATGTAACAAAAAATTCCTAACTGTGCTATAAGCAGAACTCGTTCATATCTTGGAATATCTTAAGATTCTTAAGCACAACTCGAGGATTATAAGAGCTGGATATGTCAAATTTGATATGTAGGTTCTTTAGAGTTACATATATACAGATTGAGGACATTTCACTTCTTTAATACCTGCCGAAATTCCTACTCGAAATTGAAAAAGCTCGAGGATTATTAAAGCTAGACGCGAAAAACTTGGTATGTGGGCTCTTGAATAGTATATAAAAGTAAAGAACGTTTCACTTTTCTAATAACTCCCATAAAATCCCCTCTTAATAGTGAAAAAGCTCGAGTATTATAAGGGTTACATACGTCCAATTTTGTTTGTAGGATCTATAGTAGTATATACATATTAAGAACATTTCACTTTCTTAATACCTCCAAAGACTCTCCCCTAAATTGAAGAAAATCTACCATGTAAATGTAGTACCTTGCAATTGGGTGTGTACACACTTTTATATGCCATATTTGCGCAATGAAAATTTCATTATCGAGCTTCGGACTACAAGCACCGAAGTTAAACAAATATGCATTACCCATACTTATAGGGTAGAGGAAGAAGAAGCACGTGGAGAAGAAATCTTGAATGCTTGTAACGTCAGCTCGCCGCTGAGTATAGGGTATCTGGTGGTCGGGACCAGTGTCAAGCAGAACAATGCGTAATTGTTGACTGTTTCTTTGGGCCAACTTGACACGTGCCATTGGACGCAGTGGGCGGGGCCAGGCGGCGGGTGAAGGGGGGCCGCGCGACACGCTCTTATCTGCGACACGCATCTGCGGCCATGGCCTTTGTCTTTTGCGGCCGTGCATTTAATTACGCCGTGCCACGCCCCGAAAAGCCCAAACCAGAGCCGAGCCCAATCGCCAAATACCAATTGCCAAAACCAAAGCCAAAATCCGAAGCCGAAATCCACATTCAAGCCCAAACGCATTTGTTGCTTTTGGCCTCGCTTTTGTCTGTTTAATTGTTTTTTGTACTTTTTTTTGTTTTTTTGTATTGTTTCATTTGTTGTTGTTTTTTTTCAGCTTCAAATTGGGCCGTATTTTGCGCTTAATTTACCAGGCATCCGTTTCAGTCCACATATCCGCAGCTGTATCTGTATCTTCGGCTGTGCCCGTGTATCTGTATCTGTATCTGCATCTGTATCTTCGGCTGTATCTGTATCTTTATCTGCATTGCGCCAGTTTTATCTTTGATTTTTGCGACATTCCTTTTCGTTAACCAGTTTCAGTTCTCTATGGTATTGGATTTCCTTCTCAATGATTTTACTATCGCCGACAACTTCTAGATTCGAGATATGAATCCCCGACAAAAGGTCACGTATCTTTCGGATTCTATTCAATTTGATTCAATTTAAATCTTTTTAATTAGAGCACTAGAAGCAACTGTGCTGCAGTGGGGCGTGCCTGACTGGTAGATACCCTGCACCTTCCGCTTGTTATGCACAAAAATAACAAAATCGATATTTATCGATATAAATGAAAATATGGGGAAATATCGATAAAGCCATAAACTTCTTCTGTATAAAGTTTATATATATATATATAGTATATATATAGTATATATATATATGTTGCATATTTCAAGTCTCTAGCTTCTTAATTAAGGTGTTTTTGTGGGTTTAAAAGGTTTAATAGAATATATATCGCTTATTATCAAGTCTCCAGCTTCTTTATTTAAGAGTTTTTCTGAGCTTATAAGGTTAAAGAGACTATATATTGCATATTTCAAGTCTCTAGCTTCTTTATTTAAGAGTTTTTGTGGATTTTAAGAGAATATATATATTTTATTTCTTGTCTCCAGCTTCTTTATTTAAGAGCTTTTGTGTGTTTATAAGGTTAAAGAGAAAATATATTGCATATTTTAAGTCTCTAGCTTCTTTATTTAAGAGTTTTTAGCTTGGCACGGAAAGTATTCAAAATTTAAGCCACATTTTGAGTTGAATTTGGACACTTTCTCAGAGTGTGGGTTGTTTCTTCTTGAGAATCTATCTAAGCACAACTATCAGCTACGCCTACAGCCGAGAGACAACACAATAATTCGGCCAGTTCGCTGAACCAGACGCGGGTGCAATGTTTTGCAGATGGTTAAAAAAGAATAATTTATATATAATATAAATATATGTATATATATATGTAATATATATATATGGCTTATGTGTGCTTAAGTTCGGGCTGTGTACTAAAAGCGCCGCGCGGCAGACGTGACTTTTGGGCCATGACGCTGGCCACAATGCCAAGCAATGCCAGTTCCCATTCGTTGTATGTGACTAAATGGTAAATATTTGCGTTCATTTATCGAATAGACAAACGACTAAAAAGAAAAACAGCCAACAACAGTTCCAGCGATTGACTACAATGAACCAGATCCGGAACAAACGCAACGGAAGTGATAAAAAACAATGCAAAAACAACCGAAATTTGAATAACTTTCAAAGTGAACCGAATTCAAGGAATCAACACGAACTAGTTCGCCGACTCAGGACCTGATTGACTGACTGACTGACTGACTGACTGACTGACTGACTAACTGACTGACTGATGGACTAACTGACTGACTGATGAACTGACTGACTTATTGACCGATGTACTGACTGATGGACTAACTAACTGACTGATGGACTGACTGACTGATTAACTGACTGAATGACTGATGGACTGACTGATGGACTGACTGATGGACTGACTGATGGACTGTCGGACTAACTAGCTGACTGATGGACTGACTGACTGACCGACTGACTGACTGACTGACTGACTGACTGACTGATGGACTGACCGACTGACTGACTGATTGATGGACTGTCTGACTAACTAGCTGACTGATGGACTGACTGACTGACTGATAAACTCACTGACTGACCGACCGACTGACTGACTGACTGACTGACTAACTGACTGACTGATGGACTAACTGACTGACTGATGAACTGACTGACTGATTGACGGATGTACTGACTGATGGACTAACTAACTGACTGATGGACTGACTGACTGATTAACTGACTGAATGACTGATGGACTGACTGATGGACTGTCGGACTAACTAGTTGACTGACTGACTGACTGAGTCCATCGCTAACCGTAAATCTAAGCACTAAATGCAAAATACTAAACAAAATACTAAACACGCTCGCCCAAAATTTATTAGAACTACGTGACTTTCATTTGCTCGCTCCGAAACAAATAGTCATTAATTTGGTCGTGTGTTTTTTGTTTTATGACTCGAGCTCACAAGTTCTTAATGGGAACATTCCATTTCGAAGCTAATATATCATCTGGTTATTTGCTTTTGGCGTAGTTCTATGCACTTATTGTCATTTAACTAGTATACGAGGAACTCGTAAATTAAGTTAAAAGAAAAATGGCTAAAAACTAGAACAAACATACAAGAATTTATAGCGAAAACACGAATGTCATATGAATTTTTCGATAAAGTTATTTCAATAAATCTAGCAAAAGCGGTTCCAGGGTTGATTAGTTAGCAAAACCACGAACCCAATCTAAAATTGTGACGTTTTTCAACACTGTGAGCCAAACCAACGACAAATTATTTGCTTTCTTTTACTCTTTTCTCAGTTATTTTCGAAGATTTTGGAGAATAAACAAAATTTAGCAATATTTGTGAGGTTATGTTGGGTTCAACAGTTATTTGTGACCATTTGCAGTACTGTAAGAAGAAGATTCTAAGCGGCAAAAGCTCGAAATAAAGCGGTTTTCAAGCGCAGCTTTTATGACGTTGGAGCTTTCAATTGATATGCAGGCATATACATATATACATAATGTTATTAAAACCTCAATCGTTATGCAATCGGCATCACGATCCAGCTATAAATCGATCAGGCCGTGTATCTGTGTGTCTTTTATCTGTATCCGTATCCGAATCTGGCCGAATGCATATTCATTGCTTGACTATTGCCATTTCAGTCGCTCCAATTGGCTGGCGCACTGCTCAAGGTCTCTCGCGATAAGTGTAAAGCAGAGAAGAAGAGAAGAGATCCGTACGACCCGCACGCCACTCGCACCCCCCTCTCCCAACACACACACAAGTAGCATAATAACAAAAACACAGCCAAAAAAAATATATGATGCGAATTAAATGAATTGAATTAACATGGGAAATGCGCGCTCCACTAGAAACAATGGGAGACTGCGGCAACAACAACAACAAGAAGTAGAAGAAGAAGACGGGACCAGCATGAGAACGCAGCAAGTGCAGCTGTGATTTATGCGTCTCTAGTGTGCGTGCTGTTCTTGTTGCCAAACAATGTTGCTAGCGTCTGGATGATGTTGCTAAGGACAGACAGTTAACCCTTGAAAGCACAATTATTTATTTTGCAATGATTTTGCATTAATTAACAAAATCTGATTTTGAATTTGATTACATGGATTATATAATTGTATAGCAATAACAACAATAAACAGCAATAAAAGCGATAGTTGTTATATTAAGTATATGATAATAAGAAACAGCATTTAACGGTTAATGATCGCATGTGAGCATAAGCATGTATATGTGTTAAAATGTGTCTGCATCTAAACAAAAAAGGATGTTGCTTACCTGCGCGCAAAATGCAGCCAAAAATGTGAGGCACCAAAGCCAACAATGTTGCTGAGCTGCTCCTGTTGTTGTTGTTTTTGGCTGTTGCTGGCAATGTTGCCGCTGCCTTTTGAGTCGGATTCTTGTTGTTGCTTTGCTTAGCGTGTACAACATATTGTGGCCGTTTTGTTGCTGTTGCTGCTGTTGTATGTTGCTATCGGAACGTTGATTTTGCAGTTGTTTTTATTATTATTATTATTTTGCTTATTGATTTTTATCTTTTGCGTTTGCTTTTTAACAAATGCACTTTTACTAATTTCTTTTAATTTTCGACATTTTCGTTGAAAGCGTAGTTTTTGTTTTGTGCAAATGCATTGTTTTTTATTTGTTGTAACTTGTTTGTTTTTTACAACTACAACTTAATTGTGGATTTTTGTATTATGAACTTTCCTCACGTCATTCTGCGAGAGAGTCAATTTGAGAGTGTGCGAGAGAGCGAGAGAGTTATGCATTAGCAACGCGTACAAAATTTAGATAAGAGCGCGAGAGCGTTATTTAGGCAGGTAAACACTGGCGCGTGTGTGCCTGTGTGTGTATATATGTGCGTGTGTGAGCGCAGCTTTGAAGCCAAGCTCAGCGCGCAGCTTTTGCTGCCGATCAATAGCGCTCGCTCACTCGCTCTCCCACGCTCGCTCTATCTGGCTCTCTCTTCCACTTTGCATTTTGGCCAGCGGCGCCTGCGCCAATGTTGTTTCTTTTTTTTTTTTTGTTCAGGCCAAGCTTTCGATTTTTCTATATGTATTGCTTTAATTAATAATTATTGCATTAAAATGTTGTCAATTTCCTCAGCGTAGATGACGTCACGATGCAAAACATAAATATGTCCAACCAACAAAAATATGCATAAATGTATTTTAAATGCCAATAAAAAGAAATCAACAACTTTTACAAAAACCTGTTTTTGCTTGTTGTTGTTTGTCCATTAAAGCTGCCTAGGGTCGTTTTGTTGTTGTTGTTGTTGTTGTTGCTGTTTGTTAATAACATTGCCGTATGCAAAAAAGGCCTTCAACTCTGTTGCTGAGCTGCAGCTAAAAGAGAGCGCGAGAGTAAGCTGTAGAAGAAGAAGAAGCAGAGAGTGGGCAAGCCATCAATGATGGCTGAGAGAGGCAGAGAGAGAATGTGAGATCCAAGCGGAGCTTAAGCCATTGTTCTGTCATTTGATAGAACAACAACAACAACAACAACAATAACAACAACGGCAGCTAATCAACTTTAAAGCTTAAGAAACATAGCAGCAACAAAAACAATGCAAAGCTCATAAAACAAGTTTTCATATGAATTTTTTTTCAAGCAAATTTAGGACAAGTTTCTAACAACAATAAACGTAAAAAAAAATTAATAAAAAACATTATTTGTTTGTGCGCAGCAGTTTCCGTAAATGTTTGTCCAATTCATTCACAAACACTGGAGAAATTAAAAAAAAAAAACATTTATATATACATATATGTATATACATTTATACATATTCATATATATATTCAAATAAAACACCGACAACAATAACAACAACAAGACAATTGCAAAACGGCGCCAACAGAGCGCGCCTCGGTGCGTTGTGCATTCGTTTGCTTGAAGGAGTGGGGGAGGAGGGTGGCCTGCGCCAGGAGGCGCAAAAGAAAGCGACGGCATTTGACGCGGCGGCGGCAACAAACAAAAAACAACTGAAAAAACGGTTACTGCTGCCGCCGGTGTTGCCAGTGTTGCGTAGGAGTTGCTGTTGTTGTTGTTGCTGCTGCGACAACACAAAAACAACTCTCAATTTCTGCTTTTACTTTGCTACGCTTTGCTGGGCATTTCTTGGCCAAAAAACAAAAGTGTATATGTGTGTGTGTTTGTGTGTGTAAATATACATATATTAAAGACACGAACTTTTCTTATACAACATTAAAAACTTTTCATAAACATATGTATGTATGTGCTCTTATATATTCATAAATATATGTAGCTACGTTCAAAATGATTTTGCTAACCGTCGCCAAAAAAAAAATACAACAAAAAAACAACAAAAAACGTACACTCAGACGCAGACGCACACACACGTAAAAACACGACGCTAATGACGACGACGGCGACGCGGACAAGCACAGCGGCAACAGAAATCGGACAACGCGCACCTGAACACGCTCACGGCCAAAACTCAACTGAGTAACGGGCTATGTAGCGGTGGCTGCGGCTGCGGCTGCGGCTCTGCCTGCATCTGCAAGTCGGCTGAGCAAGTGTCTGCGTGCGTCTGTGTGTGTTCGCTCCGGTGTTTTTGCGGGTGTATTTGTGTGGGAGACGGCTCCCAGTACTGGGTGGTTGTTTCTGTGCGAGCGCTGCCACCCTTGGCGCGTTATTTCAAATTGCGGAGTGGAAATATTTGCAATTCATCTGGAGTTAAAATAATAATAACTTGAACAGCAAGCAGGTATTTTTTTATGTTTAAAATAATATATGTACTTATTATAGCATATTTGAAGACACCCTAAATCGTAATTCGGCCATAATTCGCAATTTGCAATGCCCTATTTTGAAATTAACTTTGCCTAACAAATATTTAAGTGTTGGAAAATAAAATATATATAAGTGGTGGCATTGTGACATCGATGACTCGCTTAACGATCGATATGAAACACAGCCTACCGGCAGGCATATTCGATGTATCGTTTCAAGAACACAAATGCAGCTATCGATACGCCACTTACATCCCTAATTGCAGTGTTTCTTTATTTTGTACATCACTAACAACAGCTACGGCTACACTAGTTTTTTTTTTGCAAATACATTCTGCATTTTTATATTAATTTACCCAATATATAACGAGTGTATTAAAGTTCATCGCGCCGCTTCAAAGCGTATTGCAATTGAGTGCAATAAGGCGTGGCAATATAAAATAAGAGGCAACATAACAGAAAAAAAAAGACCGGCAGCGGCAGCTTCCACACACTCGCGCACCCACACACACACACACACACGTACACACATACATATGTAGGTTAATCTATGAAAGTGTCGCTAAAAACAAGAATCATCTCCCATTGTGCGTGCGAAGAAGCAGAGAGTGCGAGTGAGAGAGAGAGAGAGGAGAAGTCGGTGTCATCATCATCGACACATTTAGGCCATGAAGAACGTTCTGATGGTGGCCGAGAAGCCCTCGCTGGCTGCCGCCCTGGCCGGCATACTCTCCAACGGACGCTGCACGGCAAAGCGAGGTTAGAAACGAGGTGGTTAACCCGAAAACAACAGTTAATCCAGCCAGGGGCTGTTTACAGGCTAATCCTTAAATATATCCACTCACATATGCATCAATCTTTGACAGGCAACAACGGCTGCTCCACGCACGAGTGGACCGGTCACTTCCGGAACGAGGGCAGCGTTCACTTCCGGATGACATCCGTATGCGGTCATGTGATGTCGCTGGACTTTACCAGCAAATATACCTCATGGGACAAGGTGGATCCGGTGGAGCTCTTCGGCTGCACCACCGAGAAGAAGGAATGCAATCCCAAGCAGCAGATGCGTTCGTTTCTCTCGCACGAGGCTCGCGGCTGCGATTATCTCGTACTGTGGCTCGATTGTGACAAGGAGGGGGAGAACATTTGCTTTGAGGTGATGGACGCAGTGCAGCATGTCATACACAATGTGTACAGCCACAATGTGACATATCGCGCCCACTTCTCGGCCATTACGGACAAGGACATCAAGGGCGCAATGGAAACGTTGGGTCATCCCAACGAGAACGAGGCCAAGTCTGTCGATGCACGCCAGGAGCTCGATTTGCGCATTGGCTGTGCCTTTACGCGCTTCCAAACGAAATTCTTCCAGGGCCGTTACGGCGATCTCGACTCATCCCTCATCTCGTACGGCCCCTGCCAGACGCCGACGCTGGGCTTCTGTGTGAAGCGGCACGATGATATACAGACCTTCAAGCCGGAGACTTTCTGGTATCTGCAATTGTTGGCCGGCCAGCCGGAATATACGCTCGAATGGGCGCGCGGCCGTGTCTTCAAAAAGGACATTGCCATCATGCTGCTGAATCGCGTCAAGGAGCACAAGGAGGCCACGTAAGTGTTGCTCCTTTTTCTTTACAGATCTGTCCCATTCTCATATATCTCTCTCTCTCTCTTTCACTCTCTGCCGCCTGCAGCGTGGAGAGCGTCAGCAGCAAGGAGTCGTTCAAGAGCAAGCCGCAGGCCTTGAACACCGTCGAGCTGATGCGCATCTGCAGCTCCGGCTTGGGCATTGGCCCGTTTCAGGCGATGCAAATCGCCGAACGGCTGTATACGCAGGGCTATATCAGCTATCCGCGCACGGAGACCAATCAGTATCCGGAGAACTTTGATTTGCATGCGGTGCTGCGCGTGCTGCAGCCGTCGGGCGAGTTTGGGGAGGAGGCGCGCGCCATTGCCGGCGATTTTCAGACGCCGCGCAAGGGCAAGGATGCCGGCGATCATCCGCCCATAACGCCCATGAAGCTGGGCCATCGCGGCGAATTCGATCGGGACACCTGGCGCGTATACGAGTTCATTTGCCGGCACTTCATGGGCACCATATCGCGCGATCTGAAGTATCGCACCACAACGGCCAAGCTGCGCGTCGGCCTCGAGTGCTTCACGTGCACGGCTAACGTGCTGCTGGATGCGGGCTTCACCAAGGTGATGACGTGGCAGGCCTTCGGCAAGGACGAGCCGATGCCGCCCTTCGTTCAGGGCACCCAGGTGGCCATCAATGATGTGCGCCTCGCCGAGAGCCAAACCGGACCGCCCGATTATCTAACCGAATCGGAGCTGATCACGCTGATGGAACAGCACGGCATCGGCACAGACGCCTCCATACCGGTGCACATCAACAACATCTGCCAGCGCAACTATGTGCGCATCGAGACCGGACGCAAGCTGATACCCACCACGCTGGGCATTGTCCTGGTGCATGGCTATCAGAAGATCGATCCGGAACTGGTGCTGCCCACCATGCGCTCCGAGGTGGAGCGCATGCTCACCCTCATCGCCAAGGGCTCGGCCGATTTCAACGATGTCCTGCGGCACGCCATCAAAATCTTCAAGCTGAAATTCATGTTCTTCGTACAAAACATCGCCAGCATGGACATGCTCTTCGAGTCTTCCTTCTCGCCTCTCGCCGAATCCGGCAAGGCGCATTCCCGCTGCGGCAAATGTCGCCGATACATGAAGTATATACAGGTGCGATATGGATGAGCAGGTGGAAAATATATATAGACGTAGAATTGGATGTGCATGTAGATTAAGATGTAGACTTGGATATGGATATGGATGTAGATTGAGATGTAGATGTAGATGTAGACTGGGATATGGTTGTAGATTAAGATGTAGATGTAGGCTTGGATATGGATGTAGATTAAGATGTAGATATAGACTTGGATATGGATGTAGATTAAGATGTAGATGAAGAATGGAAATGGATGTAGATTAAGATGTAGACTGGGATATGGTTGTAGATTAAGATGTAGATGTAGATTAAGATGTAGATGTAGATTAAGATGTAAATGTAGATTAAGATGTAGATGTAGATTAAGATGTAGATATAGACTTGGATATGGAGGTAGATTAAGATGTAGATGAAGAATGGAAATGGATGTAGATTAAGATGTAGACTGGGATATGGTTGTAGATTAAGATGTAGATGTAGATTAAGATGTAGATATAGACTTGGATATGGAGGTAGATTAAGATGTAGATTATTGATATAGATAATGGCTGATTATGGGTTAACTTCAAACCATTTTATAGTCGTATTTTAGTTGTGTTAAATTGAAATATGTTGTTGACATAGATTAATCGCCTTGTATTGCTGTCTCTTTCAGACGAAGCCGGCTCGGCTGTACTGCTCGCACTGCGACGAGAACTATACGCTGCCCAATGGCAATGTGAAGGTGTATCGCGAGTTCAAGTGTCCGCTGGATGATTTTGGCCTGTTGGCGTTCTCGACGGGCGTTAAGGGTCGCTCGTTTCCGTTCTGCCCGTACTGTTACAATCATCCGCCGTTCAGGGATATGCCCAAGTTTGGCGGCTGCAACTCCTGCACGCATCCCACCTGCCCGCACTCGCTCAACACGCTGGGCATCTCCGGCTGTGTGGAGTGCGAGACGGGCGTACTTGTCCTGGACAGCACACTGTCGCCCACCTGGAAGCTGGGCTGCAATCGCTGCGATGTGATCATCAATTGCTTCAAGGGTGCCACCAAAATTACAGTCGAAGGTGAGTTCTCAGCTTCTCGCACATCTTTTTCAATTGCTAATCCTTGTCCCCTGCTCTTGCGCAGAGAGCAAGTGCAGCGACTGTGGCGCTCAGCTGGTGAACGTGGTGTACAAATCGGACAAGTCCAAGTTCAAGGATGGCAGCGAGGAGAAAAGCGGCTGCATTTTCTGTTCCACGGAATTCGCCCATCTGGTCGAAAAGCATCGAGCGGTTGCCTCCCGTCAGGTGCGCAGCGGTGCGCCTCGTGGCGGCGGCCCTGCTGTCGCCGGACCGGGCGGTGCCGGCAATGCACGCGGCGGACGGCACGGCGGACGACCGCCCAAGGATAAAATGGCACAATTGGCGGCATATTTCGTTTGATCAAACTGCCACTGGCTTCCAAGCATATCGCTAACGACCAGCTCTAATTCTCTATATATTGCATTTAACTATGTAAGACGTAACGCTAAATTAGTCTAGTCTGCGAGACTTGGCAGTAATAAACGAAATTTGTATAAATTTATTTTGGTTCTAGTTGTTTTTCACCCAACCGACACCATAGGGGTTAAAGTTTGCCCTAAAGCTAAACCTTGCCAACTGACTTAAATAGCCTTCAAATATTGTATTCAACGCCTCGCTGGCTAACTGATTCTTAAAAGCTTTCATTTATATTTATCTAAATAAACGAAATTTGTATAAATTTATTTTGGTTCAAATTCCTTGCACCCAAGCGACAGCATAGGGGTTAACAGTGTTCCCAAGCAAGAACATTGTCAACTGACTTAAATAGCCATCAAATATTGTATTCAACGGTTCGCTAGCTAATTGGTCCTTAAAAGCTGGCATATATATTAATCCAAATAAACGAAATTTGTCTAAAATTGATTTCAGCTACCATTTTCAAAATGGTTTCAATATTATGAAGGCGGCATAAAGAACAAAAAACCGCCACATAAAACAGTGTTGAGAAGCTTGGCTAAACGATATTTTTGCAGCAGCTTGGGCATTAGGATATATCGATATGCTCGATATATCGTGTGCCATCGTTGGCCCTTGACGATAGGCACGCTGCTGAAAATATCGATACTTGGCATATTCATGTTCAAATGGGAAAATAAAATTGCTGCAGCACGCAAGCGCGCAGCCGTTGCTTCCTTTTGGTTCAATTTCTGTGTAAAACTGTTTAAAAGTAGGCAAATTATGTGCAAATAGTAGTCTTTAAAAAATGGGCATCTAATCCTGAGTACCTTATTCCTGGTCGAAATTCATGTAAAAATTGAACCCTCAAATGTCCTATATAGACATACATAGGTCGAAATTTCCCACCTCCATAACTCGGTTAAATCTCATCCGATTTTCATAAACTTTTGCTTTTTATTCATGGTTTGAGCTCTTTAAGAAATGGGCATCTAAATCTGGGTACCTTACTCCTGGTCGAAATTCATGTAAAATTGTACCCTCAAATATATAGACATGGGTCGAAATTTCCCACCTCCATAACTCGGTTAAATCTCATCCGATTTTCATAAACTTTGGCTTTCTGTTCATGGTTTGACCTCTAGATCAATTTGGCATCTAAAATTGGGTACCTTATTCCTGGTCGAAATTCATGTAAAAATTGTACCCTTAACTTTCCTATATAGACACAGGCCAATTAAACTTCTCTATCCCTACTAGGCCAACAAGTAATTATACGACTTCATCAAAAAACTGGACTTAGTAGCAACAAGGCAGCAAAGTTAAGGCTCAACATTAATATCATTCGTCAGCGATGATTTGTATCTGATATGAGTTCGTCTTTTTTGTCCTCCAATGCATCTGTGTGTGTCTCGCATTGGGCGTCTGAGCGTCGAACTAGCAAGCGAGAGGTCGCCGGTTCAAATCAAAATTTCAATTCAATTTCAATTGTATAAACTAATGTAAGTTGCTATTCACCCAAATAAAATGCAAATAAAAAACTTAAAAAAAGCAAACCTGTTTTGTCCTTTTAGATGTCCCAGACAAAATATAATCCCATCATAAAAAAGGCTAATTTTTCTCACATCTATGACACAGTCCATAATTTTATGCTCCACAGACAACATTTGGTTACACTATAGGAAAAAAAAAGAAGCAAATTAAAAATCTTTGATATAAGGCCTCGAATTTTTACCTAAGGTATTTTCTTGTATAACTTTGCTTATAGAGTAGAATCTATAATAAATGAAATCAAAGTAATCTTTTCTTTTTGTTTATTATTATTATAATATAGCATTGTTTGTTTCTTTTGTTTTGTAATTGTTTTAAAATAATTATAGTTATGTAGATTTACGTATATATAAACTGTTTTTTTTTTAACAGCTAGAAATAGTTTTTTTTCTCATTTTACTTTAATTGTTATTACAAAACTTTCTCCATCAAATACTAAGAGAAAGTTTGTCAATTATCAATTTTCTTGCGTTTCTCGTTCTTGTTTCTGTCCACTTTACTCCCGTTCGTACGAACAGAACTTGATAATGAAAACTCGGAAAATGTTTTTTGTTTCTTTTTGTTTTCAGCTTGGCAAATAATTTGTTCGAGTTGTCGAGTTATTGGGATTGGGAAAATCTTGTTTTAAATTTGATTTACATCGTATACATGAATTTCGTTTCTTTTGTTTTAACTTAACTGTTATACGGTGCGTATAACAGTGGCAAGCGCTGCGCTTGCTGGTATACAATTTGTTGGTTAATTGTGCAAATTACAATTTTGTTTCAAAAGAAATTTTTTGCTTTCATTTGTTATTAATTAATTAATTATATGTGGCATGTATGTACAGTGTTGCCAACTGTCGCAATGTTGAAAGTAGCTAAAAATAGCTAAAAACAGCCAAAACAGCTGAATCGGAGCACAAATTGACAATAAACGGCCAAAGAAAATGGCCAAATCTATTTAAACTTTCAGCCCGTTCCGGCTCTCTCAAAATAGCCAAATCTCGCTAGAAAGTAGCTAAATTGGCAATACTGTATGCATTGCACAGTGGGCGACAGTCCATTTGCAGCGGGCAAAAAAAAAAATTAAATTTATTTAATGTCTAATCAATTTGATTTAACTAAAGTATTGAAATAAGAACAATGTCAGTTTGAAGAGCGTGTTCTTTTTGCTTGCAATTTTATATTACACACAATTGCAGTCTCTTCTTTTTTTTTTTTTGAAAAAGATTGAAAAAGTACGTCACATACAAATGTAAGTAAAAAACGCACTGCTTAAAATGACATTTTTTTCATTTCCATTAGCTTATTTGTTTACAAAGATTATACGACTTTTGAATACATTCAATTTGATGCCTGCTCACAAATAGGCTGACGCCCACTGTGCATGTGTATGTGTATATTATGCATGTACAAGTATAGTGTATATGTATACATATGTGTGTGTGTGTGTTTCTTGTTGCTTTAGCTCAACAAAAAATATACAGAGCTGTGCGCTGTGTGTGCGTGTGTGTGTGTGTGTGTGTGTGTGTGTGCGTGTGTTTCTTTTGTTGTTAACACATTTAGTTATTAGTTTTGTGTTTCTTACATTTCGTTTGTTATTAATAATTAAGACATAATCGTATACATAATTGATTGTAGGCTGCACACACACACACACACACACACACACACACACACACACACACACACACACACACACACACACACACAGAGACACAGACACACGCAAACATTCGTCAAGTCGCGCAGTGTTGCATTTTGGCGCTCACACACATTTATCGATACACATTTTCGTACACAAATGTACTCGGTTACAAGGATGATAAAAAAACAAAAAAAAAAATAATAAACTTTCTACTTTTAGCTTTTGCGGCACAGCCTATCCTCAAGGGCTAAGATCCTGATGCAAATTGGGATCGTAGCCGCCCATGGTGTTATCGTAGGGCGGCTGCTGATCGTAGCCGGCGGAGCCCATGGGATAGCCCATCGAGTCCTGTGGCGGTGCGGGCGACATCATCGGCGTGGTTGTGCCACTGGGCGGTCCGGCCATGGAGTAGGGCGAGGCGCCGGCTGCCTTTTTCGCCGCATACAAGTTGGCCTCCTCCTGGGCCTTGCCGATGTTCTTCTTATATCGGATGCGCTTGTTGCCAAACCAGTTGGATACCTGCGACACCTGCAATAAAGTCAACGGTAGGGGTATCGATAGATGTGATCGATTATTGTTATTTATCGATACTAACCGTTATGCCGCACTTGCGCGCCAGCTCCTCCTTGGCCTCTTCGGATGGATACGGATTGCTCAAATGACTGTAAAAATATTCGTTGAGTATTTCGGACGCCTGTTTGCTAAAATTGCGACGCTTCCGGCGCGCATCCAAGAATCTAGAGCGCAATATCATGACCGCCTCGCAGGTCGATTGTTTCAGCTGCATCTGAATCGAGCTGAATTTCTTGTGGATTATCTGCACCATGCGCTCGATTTCTTTGGGTGTGATGGGTCTGCGGAGAAGATGAACATCCAAAAATATATATTAATTCTCCATGCATAAAGCATCGATATATCGATAAGTCACAAGCGCAGGCTACTTCTTGAAGACAATGTTGCCAGATGTTATAGAAATTTATCGAAATTCGTTAATTTCCTTTTTTTTCAAATGTTTAACTAATACAAATTGTAATCTCTTTTGATTGTGACATAAAGATATACGGTTTCGGATATGCTATAAGGAAAATTGTAAAGCTCGTATTTGCTGAGTTTGTTGAATAAATCTTTATCTCATCCATAAAAAAACTCAGAGTTCGACCAAAGGCAATAGGCGGCCTTACATTTGAATGCGACGCAAAATTTTTAGCCTGGCTTTTCATCTGGCTTTTCGCTATTCAAACGACACGCCAGCCAACTGGCTTTTCGCTCTCATGCCTTCAGCAAAGCTGGTCGATGGGTGCTCTGCGTCGTTTCGTTTTCGAAAAAATTGTATCCTCACGATCGACGCAAAGTACTTTTGCTCAATCTATGACATGCATGCTTTATATGAATCATATATTACCCTAGATACTCTTGACAAATATTAAAGGCAAATTAAAAAGTAAAGTCATTAATATTGTCTTTACTTAGACCGAGTCCTTCTACGGAGCTAAATGACGTAGTTTCCCGATGTTTAAAAGCTTTGTAAGACGGAAGAAACTGCGAAATTCCTTTTAGGCAATTTTCCCCTACTAAACGATATTGAATCAAAATAACTTTCAGATACTCTGGATGTGTGCATATTACAGGTGGAACTGCATATAAAATGTGTTGTCTGCAGCTCTTATAATCTTTAAACTAAAAAAATCGATATTTATCGATATTATATGGAAGCTTGTTCTGTACATATTCAAGCATATATATTTTAGCTAGTAGATTAGATCAACTTCTCTCATTCTTCTGATCAAGAATATGTTTTATTTCCTGCTGTCACTTTCGTTAAGCCAACCATTCGTTAAGTTTGCTTTCACAAACAGCGCATCTTTCGATAACTTTCAATTGACCGTCTGGCACCGTCTCTCTCTCTCTCTCTCTCTCTCTGCCTCTTGCTCTCTCACCTGGTGCGACTCTGCTCGCGCAGCAGATTCATGACATGCGTGGTAAACTCATTGCAGGCCTGCTCGTATTTCTCCAGCTCCTGGTGATAGATCTGTCGGATTTGCGCCAGCTTGGCGCGATAATCCGAATGCTCGATGGCATTGTCGGCGCCGTCGATGGACAGCGAGCCGCCTTGGCTGGCGGCCGCTGCTGAGGCGGCAGCGGCGCCGCCGCCGCCCTTTTCGGGCCCAGCCACGCCCTCGGCAATGAGCATGTTGTCCAGGCGCATCAGTTGCGGATCTGGCGGCTCCTCCTCCTGCGTGTTGCGAATGGAAAGCACTGGAAAAGAGCGAAATCAAACGGAAAATACAATCAGCAAAATCAAAAAATTACAAAATGGCGCCGGCGTTGCCACCCTACTACCAAGCGTTGCCCCATCCAACACTTATTGCATTGTCTGTGCGCTGAGAAAGCTTAACGGGCTGAGCGAAAAGTACGTATCCAATTGTATTTTGCGTCCAAGTGACATAAAGGATAACAAGCGCAAAGTTTTCTCGACCGGGTTGCCATATTGTCCAGGGAAATGCGTGTTGTTCTTTTGCATTTTCTTTTCGTTCTGGCTATGCATGAATTCGATTTTGCTTGAAACCTTTCGCAGATGCAAACAATTGTCTCCTACTTCAGCCCTCCCCCCTCCATAGTCTGCTTCTGCTTCTTCTTCTTCTGCTCATCAGCACTGCCAGAGCGTCCCGAACAATATTCCTGCCGGAGGGGGGGGGGGGGCAGCAGCAGGGAATTGTGCGAGGGGAATATTTGTTGTTCTTCCTCTTCTATGTATTATGCAAACGTTGCCAGCGAAAACAATTGCCCGGCACGGGATAAGCATCAGCACAAGACAAGTCCTGAAATCGCACCCCCCCCCCCCCTCGCTTACCCCTACCCCTACCACTCTCCCTCTACACCCATCCCACAGCTTAGCCAAAATGCAAGTTAAAAAACCTTTCGAGATGTCGCAGCTTACAACAGACTTCAATTTCAGACTGCGCAAATTCTCACAAGCTTTAAATTAAAGTTTTAAATGAATGATTGTTAGGTAGAAGCACAGCTTTGTCGGTCTGAGAGCTTCAGGGGAGCTTTAAGATTAAGGCGAGTGAAGATTTAAAGCTTTAGTGAAGCTTTAAGATTAAGGCGAGCCTAAGTAAAGCTACATAGCTTTAAGATTAAGGCGAGCTTAAGTAAAGCTTTAGAGCTTTAGAAGAGCTTTAAGACTTTAAGCGAGCGAAGGTTTATAGCTTCAGAAAAGCTTTCAATTTGAGCGAGCGTAAGTCTTGCTTTCGAGCTTCAGAGAAGCCTAAAGAATTAATTGAGCTTCAGTGTCGGGTTAGAGCTTCGAAGGATCTTTAAGAATAAATCAAGCCAAGGTAAAGATTAAGAGCTTCGAAGGAGCTTTAAGAGTTTAGCAAGCTTAATGATTAGAGCTTTAGCGGAGATTAAAGATTAAAGTGAGCTTACTTAAGGCTGTAGAGGTTCAGAGCTAAGTTTCGGGTTAGAGCTTCAGATAAGCTTAAGGATTTATGCGAGCTTAAGTAAAGCTTTAAGGCTTCAGAGGAGCTTAAGTAATGGTTTAGAGCTCCATAGAAGCATTTTAGATATAAGCGACCTAACGTAAAGCTTTAGAGCTTCTGAGCTAAGTTTCCGGTTAGAGCTTCAGAGGAACTTTAAGCTTTAGGCAAGCTAATGTGAAGGTTTAGAGCTTCTGACGAACTGTTCGATTTAAGCAATCTTAAGTCTTAAAGCTTCATGGGAGCTTTAAGATATAATGCTCAAGAGCTAGAAAAAGTTACGAAATTTGGTGTGGTAATAAAATGACGTTGTTCAACTCTAAAATCTGCAAACAATCTTTTTCAACACTGCGAACTCAGAAAACATAAGACAAGGAGCTATGGTATATGAAAATAGCTCATGTATATCTAGAGACAGGTTGAGATATATATCGCATAACGATTTTGTTATGTGTATTATTATTGTTTTTTCTAGAAACACATTCAGATTCTATACCGAGAACTGAATGTAGAGTAAAGTAAAGCTATTCCAAGTCTTACATGAGTTTAACTTTAATTTTACTTTCACATTATTTGTGCAGTATGCTCAGGTCTATATTAACCAAGTAAGTCTTCAGGTTAGTCGCCTCTTAAATTTCAAGCCGCTTCCAGCATCAATCCTTACAAATTACAACGCTTTTGAGGCAGCTGAAGCAGTTGAGGATTGGGATTGGGGATGCCTGTTAACATTTGCGTGTCAAATGAAGCATTTAACAGCAGCCAGACAAATTGTAAATAGGCACATGGATATTCGAAACACAGCCGCTATCTAATAAAGACCCCGCCCGGGGCCATTTCAGAGGGGATCCCAATGGCATTTACAGCTCGTAAATTTGAATGGGCCAAGAGGAGAGAAACGTGAGAAGGAGGCGTCCACCGCCTGCCTTTTGTTAAGGGCTTTGAACGGGTTTTTGAGAGAAAGCGTAAATTCCGTTTGCTTAGATTCAGATAATTTCACAGTTTTCTGGAATGCTTCGCTCTGCTTCCACTTTACAAAAACACTTCGAACAGTTCCATAATTATACCCTGAACGCATTTAAAATGGGTATACAGGGTATAATGTATTTGTGCAAATGTATGTAACAGGCAGAGGGAAGCATCTCCCATAAAGTATATATATTCTTTATCAGCATCATCAGCCGAGTCGATCTAGCCATGTCCGTCTGTCCGTCCGTCCGTTCGTCTGTCTGTCCGTCCGTATGTATGAACGCAAGGATCTCAGAGCCTATAAGAGTTAGAGACTTGAAATTTTAGCTGTAGGTCCTCCTAGTGGCCGACTTTGTTTCCGATAATCGATAACTGGCCCCGTTTCCAAGTAATCGATAAAAATCGATATCGAAATCCTGTTTTTTGAGCAATTTCGGCAAATAATATGAGCTAGAGTCACCAAACGTGAAATGTAGCTTCTAGAATAGTATATATATATCTCAAGTATCTTTCATTTTATACCTATCGCCTGTTGGAAGAAGAGGGCACTGGGTATCCCCTAGTCGGGAGCGCCCGACTAGAACCTCTTACTTGTTAAATTAGTTGCTAGTTAAGTTACCTATGCGAACTCGACTCACAATTAAACTATCTGCATGAAACTTGGTAAAGATGCTTCTTTCAGATGCAGAAAGTACATAAAATGGAACTGGCTGGGTCGGATCTCTAGATCATATTGCTACCTATATGAACTCAGCTCTTGGCATAGCTGTCTCAGTGTAATTTGGTGCAGACGCTTCATGGTGCAAAAGAAAGTGAATAAAGCGATACTGCTTGGCTGAGATATCTAGATAAATCGATCTTAATGATAACTGATGGAGACGCTTCTTTTTGCAGCAGAGTTTTCATAGCTGGTTTATGATATAAGAACTCGACTCTTGCTTTAACAATTTCATTGATTTATATCCCTTTCTGCCAGGGTATTCCATCTTAGGTTTATTTATACTTTTTGCCAAACACCCAACCCGCAACCCTTTCCACCAATCATAGCCCACCCCCCCCCCCTCCACCTTCTCGTTGGCCCACTTAATTTTGTCTTCTTGGCAAGTTTTATGCGTGTTTAAATTGTCGGTACAATGGGCTCTGGAAGTGTTATCGGTTTGCGCACACGTATAGATAAAATATAAAATAAATGCAAATATCTATATGTAACATATGTGTATATAAAGATATATATACATATATATATACATATATATACAATGTACTTTCATAAGCCTCAAGTGGCTTTAGTTCACCTTGTGCAACGGCTCTCTGGCAATTGACCGGAATCTAGGGCCGCATTAGATAGTTTGTAATGTCCACAGACAACGCCCCCCCCCCCCCCCCCCTCAAATTCCCACACACCCCCCCCCCCCCCCCCCCTTGCAATCGTGTCTGCTGTGTTAGTCAGCCGGATCGGAACCCAAATAATAACAACAAGAAATTACTTTCCCAAGTACCATCAGGCAATGAAATTAGCAAAAAAAAAAAACAAATTGAAAACACATTTTTATACCCTGTAGTTAAGTAAAAGCGGGTGTATAGAGCGGTTAAAATATATAATATATATCAACTATCTAGCTGACCTATCGTCTATTTAGACATGTTCTTTTTCAAGACTTAGCGCTTCGTTATATCTGAGAGTCCACGTAAGTTCGTTGATGTCAGAGATTTTAAGATTTTAGCTTCTCTTAATTCCGAATAATATTGAAGAGGTTATCTACTCTGAAAACTTTGCAAGTAGTTGTAGGCCCAAATAACATATATAGTCGATTTTATCTCAGTCTCTCTCTCTCTCTCTCTCCTTGTTTATCTCTTTCCCTATATAGACATCTCTCTCTCTCTTTCTCTTTGTGCCTATATATACATATATCTCCCTCTCTATCTCTCTATTTCTATTTCTATCTCTATCTCAATATCTCTATATCTATCTCTAAATATATCTACCACTCTCTTTCTCTATATATATCTCCCTCTCTATATCTCCATATATATCTCTCTCTCTCTCTCCATTTCTATCTCTAGAAATATATATCTCTCTCTCTCCTTCTCTCTCTCTCTCTATTTCTACCCCTATCTAAATATCTCTCTCTATCTCTATCTCGCTATCCCCATCTTAATCTCCATTTCTATCTCTAACTCTCTCTCCATTTCAATCTCTCTCTCTCCTATTATCCTGATGAATCTTGTGCTAAACTAAGAAATCTTCCTTTCAAATGGAAACCAGAGCTAATACAATACAAGAGACAATATTATGCATATATGTATCTCCCGCACACCATAATTCCCATGTTTCTGAACCTGCCCCATAGTGAAATTTCGAAAGAAACAGCATCGGGAAAGCACGTTCAAAGCGAAGCAAATGTGTTTCATGGCTTTTAGTTGCCCAAACAGGCAATCTCACAGCGGTGGGCATTTCAGGGGGCTTCCTTTAAGGTTGCGGAGGGAGAGGGGGGGGGGGGGGGACAATAAATGGGTGGTCTCATGTAGCTGGGGGATGGCAAGAGATGGGAAACGGGGACAGAGGAGAGGAGAGGAGAGGAGAGGAGAGGAGAGGAAAGGAAATAAGGCAATGACAGCGTCGGAGTCATTTAAAGCATCTGGCCCGCAATCAAAACACGCTGTTATTGCCCATTTCGTGTCGCTGCGTGGGCGTAGAAAAGTGAAGGAAAAACGAGAGGCAAAAAAAATGAAATGAAATAAAAGAAAACTCGATTTGAAATTCTCTACAAGGTGCGTGCAAGGATAATAATAACGTGTGCAGGCATTTAAAGAGCTTGCGACGGGAATACCCATACTGAATGTTAACTGACTTCTTTCAAGATTTTCCTGTTCCTCGCAGAGAAGTGACTCAGTCATAAAGAGCCTCGATTCGAATCTAAGCTTATAACATTGTCTAAGCTGAGTTCAAATTTGTTTTGATATACTTTATAATAACATTAGGGGCTTTCCCAACGAAACGCTCGCTTTGGCAGACATTTTCTTTAAGAAAAATCCTACAAAAATGTTACTCATGACTTCAAGAAAACTTAAAACGGTCCAAAACTGAAATTTGGCCATTGTTTTGAATCCAAATGGAATTGTTTGCAAATTTTCATCTGGTTTCAACACATATAAAAATGAAGCAAAGTAATATATAATCTATGTTCTCTTCTGTAATAGGACAAATAGTTTAGAATAGATGACTTTATACGAGGTAGAGAAGAATCCCAGCAGAATACTCTATAATGCTTGTTATAATCATCACAGATGACCCTGAACGGTTCATGCATAGTTAGTTGAACAAAATTGAAGCGATAAAGTTATATAATTACGATTCTATTAAATATGTTTATTTGTGAACAGCATCAAAAGACGAATCAAGGCCAAGTTCGTCTCTCAGTTTTAATAGAAAGCTTGTCTTGAAACTGGGAACTTTTTGCAGAGGACATGACAAAAAGGTCGATCGGATCATACCACTATAATCCATATATTCTCTTTAATATTATTTTTTTATTGAGTTATTTCAATCAAACTGCATTGACGAGCTCCTTTAAACTCATATTCCATGGAAGGAGCTTCGACGTGCCGTAGATAGTTCTTCTTATTATTTATGTTTCTAGCTGGATTTTGCACTCACCGGTTTTCTCCTTGATCTCGCATAGAACGGAGAACAGCGCCGGCTTCATGCGGTGACAGTTGAGTGTGTGCTTCCTGGCCTGGGCCTCGTCCAGGGATTGCTCCGAAATGCTCATGATCTGTTGCAGTATTTCGCCGATATCCTTTTGCTTGCGCACCTCGTTCTCATTGCCAGCATTTTGGCCATCATCCTGGCCGGGCAGGCCGTAGCCCTGGGGCGCCATCATGCCGCCAGCGTGGGCCATCATGCGATCCTCCATGTCGCGATGTTGTCTCTGTCTGTCTCTGGCAGTGGCAACAGCCACAACAACAATAACAACAAAACTCTCAGCTCACGCACTGCAATAATAATATGAAGAACAACAATAAAGAAACGCGCATCCAACTTGGGCCTTGGGACGTGTTGCAACAGGCAAAAAAATATATATTTAAAAAAAAAACAATTATAAACAGCACTAAAATTAATTTTCTGTATTTTTTATCTAGTATTTTATGCGCGCGACGTCCGCACGCAACGGCAACGCGTTAAGAACTGACGGCTGCTTGTCGCTCGCTTCGGCTGCTGCAGCCTGTTGTTACCGAAAGGATCGATAATTGTATTGTGCGCAATTGGCATCGATAGTCGATGTTATCGCTGCAGCTTAGTATGCAGCTTTTTGAGAAGTGATTTACATGACGTAAAATAGGAAAACGGCAAGGACACAAATATATATATTTTATAATAGTGAAATTATATTTATACGATTTCAGCGCTGTTCCATATTTGCGACAAATTGGAAGGTGTTCCTTTTAAATTAACAGCTTATCAAACAGATGGAGTGTTATTCCTGCAGTGTTGCCAACTATCATTTCAAAAAAAGTATCCCATATCGATGCTAGCTGAATCTCGGCTCTGCGAGTTGCCAATTCGCGCTTAGAAAACAAATTGGCAATAAACAGGCTTGAGATGCAATTAAATCGCAATTTAACTAAAAAATAGTTGAATTGGCAACGCTACATCTTGCAAGAGCTTCGATATCTCACTGATAAATGCCGCATGCAGCTCTGTTTATATGCAAAGTGCGTGCGTGTGCGTGAGCGTGTGCATACGTGTGGGTGGTTGACGATGGACAGCGGGCGGCTGACACACGCCAGGGGCACGGGTAAGGGTAAAATACCTGCGCACCGTACCAAACACAACAATAACGCTGCATATGTGAGTGCATTCACATCTGGGCAAAATCTTGAAGTTAATTACTTTTTGTTAAAGTGGCCGGGGCCATAAAAATGAAAGATAACCGTAATTATGTCTGCACAGTAGCCAAAAACAACGGGAGAAAGCAGCGCTGACCTTCAGGGCCGGAATATGCACACGCACACACACACACGCATAGACTAGTGTGCATGCGGACAAAGCGCGTCAAAGGCTCGCAAAAATAAAAACAACAAAGCATATATGGAAACACACACACACTTGCGAATCAGAACCGCTTTTTATAAATCATTACTGCAGTGTTGTGCACATATTATTGTGTATATTTTTTTACATATAATAAACAATTGTTAACTTACACTGCACGTCACTTAACGCTTTAAATTACGTTAAGGTACTTTGCGTTTTTCTCTTTTTTTGTTTTTTTCTCGCCAACTGCAATTAAAATTGAAAAAAAACGAATGCACTTGCTATAAATATTTTTGGCGTATAGCGGAGAGCACTCGGTATTCGTTTCAATGTGCTGCTTCCTCTTCTTTTCATACGCAGCAGCAAAAAGTCGCCACTTTTTTCATTGTACAAAACACTTTTCTTCCTTTTGGCCAAATTTGTTTAATAATGCTTTTTAAGCTTCATAATTGCACTCTTGTGTAATGAATACAACGTTCGCTTACGTATACTTGTTTTGTTGACATTAATATATGCACAATAAATCTGTAAAAATTATTTTACACCAAAAAAAAAAAATCTGCTGCTGACAAAAAAATGTATCTTATATGTGATTTAACAGGGTTGATATATCGATCAATTCAAACGTTATCGTTGCGCATTTCGCGTTGCTCACTTTAGCGTTTGCGTTACTCAGCTGACGTTTACGTTTTCTATGTTAAATTGATCGTGTTATTTTACATTACATCAGGTATATACGCAGAATATGGCGCACAATTTGTAAAAGTGAACTTTGTAAATTCTCTTTTTATTATAAATGCTCTATTTCTTCGATTAAGTTAACATAAGCAAATAACGTCTGAATGAGTTGGGGGTGGTGTCTATTCCAATTAGTTTTTTTACATGGATTCCATTTCCGACAGAGGAGCTTAACTATGCCCGGGGCTTTTTAGCCCGTCAGAGATTTGCATTTACTGGGTCGAAACTAAAAACATTGCTCAAAACTTCTTTAACCCGCATTTGCCACTCAGGATGGTTGGATTTGGTTGTGAGCAGAATACTGCTCGCACACATTTTAAATATATACATATCCTGCGCCAAATCAAAAGTTCGATATTTATAATAACTCGCCATCGATAATTAGCAGCTCCCATTTGTTCATCTCGAAGCGATAGCGATAGTTCCAAACTATTGGTATTCATCGTCAAGCGTTGTCGTTGATGCACGACATTCGGCAATCATGCTCCCCTTATGCTATTGACAACTTTTAAATGATATGAAAAAAACCAAAACAATAAAGTTACTCTTTGCTAGCAGAAAATCTTATTTTGGCGTTCTTCAGTGGTAAAACGAACAACTATCCTATCGATATTTAACCAACCGATGATTCGGCCGTTGCATATGCAAATTCATTGTGCGATAACACACCGATAACAGCTGTTTGTGCCCGTCTGTTATTGTCGGACAGCTCCCATCACTAACACAGCTCTTGTCCAAAGAAATTTTTAAAGATTTCGACAGATAGGAAAAAGGGCCACAGACGTATTCAACAGCTCGCAGCAGGCAAGGCACACTGCGACCACAAACTATACGGCCAGTGTGTACAAATAGCTAACACGCGCGCGCTCCACACAGTCAGTTGTTGTTTATATTTTCACAAATCCAATACTGCCAGCCGTGCCCCCACCTCGACCGAACGTCGCAATGGACAAACTCATCAAGATGACGAACCACCGTTCCGAGATAATCGTGGGCGAGAAATACAGAATAATACGCAAAATTGGTAAGTGTAGGGTGTCTAACGCCTAATTAGCCAGGGCTGGCACGCACCTGACGCTCCAATGGCGCAGTTTGCCAGGGCCACAGCTCAAGGATTTGCATTTAGGATTTGATTTGCTTATTTAAATTAAAATGTGACGTTTTTTTTTTGACCTCGTGCAGGCAGCGGCTCCTTCGGCGACATCTATCTCGGAATGAGCATGCAGTGCGGCGAGGAGGTGGCCATCAAAATGGAGGCAACCAATGCACGCCATCCCCAGCTACTCTACGAGTACAAGCTGTATCGCGTGCTGAGTGGAGGTGTGGGCATACCCCGCATACGCTACTATGGCAATGAGAAGAACTTCAATATACTGGTCATGGATCTGTTGGGTCCCTCGCTTGAGGATCTCTTTAACTTTTGCACGCGCCACTTTACCATCAAGACCGTGCTGATGCTGGTCGATCAGATGATCGGCCGCTTGGAGTATGTCCATATGAAGTGCTTCATTCATCGTGATATTAAGCCTGACAACTTTCTCATGGGCATTGGACGGCACTGCAATAAGCTATTCCTGATTGACTTCGGACTGGCCAAGAAGTATCGCGATCCGCACAGACGCATGCATATACCCTACCGCGAGGAGAAGAACCTGACGGGCACGGCTCGCTATGCCTCGATCAATGCCCATGTTGGCATCGAGCAGTCCCGTCGCGACGACATGGAGTCCTTGGGCTATGTGATGATGTATTTCAATCGCGGCGTCTTGCCCTGGCAGGGCATGAAGGCGACCAACAAAAAGCAGAAATATGAGAAAATCTCCGAGAAGAAAATGTCCACGCCCATCGAAGTGCTCTGCAAAGGCTATCCGGCCGAGTTCTCCATGTACTTGAACTACTGCCGCAGTTTGCGCTTCGAGGAGGCGCCCGACTACATGTATTTGCGCCAGTTGTTCCGGTAAGTCGTCTGCCTGCACAATCCGACTGTTTACTGCAGTTTCCTTATGTGATTCAAATTCACGTCTATTTGGGCTTCTGGCAAATTCCAACCGCAAGTGTGAAAACATCACAAAAAACGATTGTTTGGAAACTTTTTAGCTTACCCTTCGATGGGCCTCGAATTCATTTTCTATGATCTTTACTCAGATTCACTTCAAACGTGTTTCAGAAATGGGTGGAAAATGGGTGATTTGGTGTGTGAAGCTTAAAGTTTCGTCCGATTGGCTTCAAGCTTCTTTTCCAAGCTCAACATAGATATCATATGTGTTGTATGTATATGTATCGTACGCATGTGAGATTTGGACAGTTCCACCTGTAGTTGTGGGAAATGGGCGGAAAACGTTTGTTTAAACCGTTTTGTTTGCCAACCGATCGGCTCCAAATGGGCGGAAAACGTTGATGACAAACTTTTAATCACAATCCAATGGACTTCCATTGAATATGAAATGTGAAGATTGGTTAGATTGAAATGTTGAAACTGAAAGAATGAAGTCCAGGCTAGGCCGGACAATGCACAATAGCACACATTTATAAGCTGCATTTGTTTGATTTCAGCATTCTGTTCCGCACGCTGAACCATCAGTACGACTATATCTATGACTGGACAATGCTGAAGCAGAAGACACACCAGAATCAGCAGCAGAGCGCCGGCAATATGCTGGCGCCGGAGCAGCGCGCCGAGCGGGACAAGGAGAAGCAGAGCGGCAGCAAGCCAAACACATTGGCCGATTAGGCCACGCAGCCGCTGGGCCAAATGACGGCGGCCCAGGGCCAGGGCCAGGGCACAAGCAAACGAATCGAATAGAAGAGCGGAAAGGAAGGGAAAGGATAGGAAAGGAAATACGGCACTGGCTGCTTTGCAGGACGAGCTAACCAGGATTAGATACCCATATATATATATATATACATGTGTATATATATACATACATACATATACATATATATATATGTATGTAGTTTATTTTTATAACAAATGCAAGCGCGAGAGCGACAGAGAGGGCAGCAGAAAGCACGTGCGAGCGAGCGAGCGAGCGCGCGAGCAGCTATAATTATGTATATAGAATTTAATGTTACACACACCCACACACACACATTAATATCCTGCGAGCACAGACACAACACACACACACACACATACACGTGTATATGTATATATATATATATACGCGCATATATATAGTTTGTTATCAATGCTTTAGTTGGGTCTGTTATCAGAGTCCAGACCCCGAGCTGCAGTGCATCGTTACACACACACACACACACACACACACACACACACACACACACACACACACCCACACTTGCACACAATTAGTTTTATTAGCTAACACAACAAATTTGAAGCGCGGAAAATGTGTCTTTCTTGCAGCAACAACAACATATATAATATATAAAATTGAAGGTGTCGCCAGAGGCAAACGTCGCGGCGACGTCTCAGACGGCTGCAGCGTCTACTAAATCAGGTGCACAATTACAATACACACACACACACACACGCTCACACACACAGACACAGACATTTGATGACAATTTTTGCTTGGCGTTTAATTCGAGAATTGAAAGACGAGCACAAATTCTACGTTCATGCGAGATAGCAACAAAATAACAAAAAGATGGTAAGAAAAAGGAGAAGATGAAAAAAAAAACAACAATTAAAAAAAAAGAGAAAAGAGCATGCGACAATTAAAAATATATTCATTTTTTTTTTTGTCAATGTTAAACAATTGCGAAAAATGTGCGCAACATTTTTTTTTCTAAATTCTTTTTCTTTTTTTTTTGGCGCTGTTTTTTGCGAACTGATGACGTTTTGCCAGGCGCAGAAAGGCGAACGCCAAAAAAAAAAAACAAGATCAATAACAAAATTATGAATAATTCAAAAGCAAAATGCAAAACCTATTCATTAAGCATAAAAGTATGTAATATAACAAGCAATTGTAATATTGTAATCTATTATTATGAGAAACGTTTACAAATAAAAAACAAATTACAACAACAACAAAATGCCCATTGAAGAGGCAGAAGGAGGCGTATACATATATATATATATTATATATATTCCCGATCGGGCAGACGAGCTTTGTGAACGTCAGGTGGAAATTTTGGGGTATATATTTTCGCTTACCTTTTGCAGCAACTGTTTATCAGTTCTCTTTCCCGATATCTCCACTTTTTTTTTTGCATAATATCGATAAATATCGATTTTGGGAATTGGTTTTTTGACCATAACTCGAGGATTACAGCAGCTAGCTGCAGCAAACTTTGTGTGTGGCTTCTTTTTTGGCATACACAGCTTACAAATATTTCACAATTTTGAATTTCGACACCATTTTCTCAGAGGAGACAAAGAAACGAGTTTGAAGGGCTAGAGTCTTGCACTTTGGTATATACACACGATTGTATGCCAACTTTAGGCACTGAGAATTTCATAAAGATCGGACTATGAAAACCCAAGTTACTCAAGTTAGATTGTCCAGATGAAGAAGGAAGGAACATATATCTCTTTATATAAGAATCTCTCTGTCTTTGCAGGGAAATGGAATTTCATGATGAAATTTTCAGCATTTCTCGAGTTAAACCGAAGAGAATACAAAGACCGGACTAAGCCGGGCAACTTTGGCTTGGCCTTGTTAGGGTCGAGCAGAGCAGAGGAGGAGCAGTGGCAAGTGGTCTTCGCTGGTGCCAGACACCCGACTGGAACGAGTTTGACAGCCTGTGCGACACATCCGAGGAAACCATTGTTTTTCTATATACTCTTTTTACTATTCTTTCGCTATATATATACATATAGATGTTGTTGTTGTTATTTTGAACAGCTGGCGACATTGCGACTGATATCAGATAAGAGCGCTGTCTGACGGCGGGGCGGGCTACTTGAGCCCCGTTTTGCCAATCTAATGAAAACAAACAGTACGGCATTATAAACAAATTCGCATTTGTCATGCGACTAGATATTCCGGTCTGGTAATTGGCTTGGCCAGCAGCTTGTCGCTGGGCTGGGCTTGGGCTGGGCTGGCTGTAAGCGGAAAAGTTTTCCGTTTTCTGAATGAAACTTGGCTCAGATGTTTATTATTTTGCGGCCGACTTGAATCAGTTCGAATCCATTGAAGCTGCATAGAAAAGTATTCCACATTTCGAATCCAACTCGTCGAGACTTGGAATTTGCAATATCTATTCTCTTGTAGATACCAATCACAGGGTATCTCCTAGTCGGGCACAAGTTTTCTTTATCCATTTGTTGCCTGCAATAGTTCGAATCCATTGAAGATGCTTAAGCAGGGCCAAAGTATAGTATTCCGATTCCGCATCCAACTCGTCGAGACTTGAAATTTGCAATATCTATTCGCTGATAGATAACAATCACAGGGTATCTCGTAGTCGGGCACTCTTTGCGATTCACTATTCAACGTTTCTTGCTATCTTTTTTTTTTGTATATTTAGTTTGTTTACAGAACCAATTCCCGATTCTTAGGCACTTGATAAGGAAGCTAACGGAATTATTTGTGTATTGGAATTATCTTTAATATATAGAGAGAAACTGACAATGTTTATATTCGGATTAAATGGGCTTTAAGATACCTTTCGAATGGGCGATACAATTTCTATTTTCATATGGGAACTATATAATATAGAGGCTTGTACCGTAATACTATATACTATATATGTTCATAGTATTGGAGTTATCATTAATATGGGAGATAAACTGATTATATTCGGACTGAATAGGCTTTGAGATACTTAACGAAAGGGCGATAATATTCGAATATATATTTGGCCCCACAATCTACCATAGATATAAGATGTATAACATCTAGAAGTAGGATCCATAAATGGAACATTATGTTTACTTATCGCCAACTCATTTAAATCGTTGCGACATATTCCATAATTATATTTTTATTGAGCTCTATCGATAGCGTATAGCTATTCCTATATAACCATATGTTTCTTCGTAACCTCAACGAACTCGGGAACTATTCAAGTTAGAGACATCAGCTTTGGTATATAGACTCTCCGATATATTCCCAAGTAAGATATATTCGAAGAGCATCTGCCGACAAATGTGAACGAAGTGAATTCGAAAACTGGCGGAGCTTAAAGACTCAAAACTTGGTATGTAGGCTCTTTGATCTATTTAGATACTACTGGAAAGGGTAGCCGAGAGATTTGTGGATTATACATATTGGTATATAGAATTTCGAGTATATGACAATGTGTGATATACGACCTATCTGTAGGTATAAGACCTCTTCAAAGCTGAGCTCTTAACTCAAATATATAAAAATCTGGAAACTAGGCAAATGTTATTTCCATCAGGTTCCATATTGGACCTTCGGATGAGCTTGACCCGTCTGGTCTGATTTAACCTAACCTAACAAAACTTGATATTTAGATGAAGAACAGATAAAAATTTCCATCCATTGGGCCTCCGGATGGGGTTGATCCACCGGCTCTGATCTAACTTAAGCATACAAAACTTCGTATAGGGACAGTCAAATATATTTATATTCAATCACATTAATGCTACAGATTAAGAGATTGGGAACTGGATGAACCAAGAGCATGAACTTTGCAGACTCTCAGATATATGACTATATAAACTATATATGGCTATATATGACCATATACACTATATATGACTATATATATTAGATTTCTCTAAAGGAACTGTTGGATAATACATGATCCCTCGTAAAGAAGAATATTAATTGATCAATAATATAACCATATATAACTATATACATATATGCAACATATCTCCCTTAACGAACTGTTGGATAATACTCGAACTCTCGTAAACTGGGATTGGAATGGTATGGAGACTCTCAGATATATGACTATCTACACTATATATGACTATACACATTTGAATATATATGACAATATGAACTATATATGACTGTACATAAATTTCTCTAAAGTAACTAAAGCTCGATCTCTCGTGAACTAGGATTGGAATAGATCAATAATATATAAGGTCTGGTTTGCAGACTCCCAGATATCTGACTATATTTCTCCAATACGCGATCTCGCTTGAAATGCAACAATAATTTAGTATTAAATTATAAATTGCATTCAGAAAACGAGAAACAATACGAACAATATGAGCTTTAATTTTAATTTCAACATATTTTTATTGATGTAATTCAAAAAATTAAATATAAGTTATGTTTATAATTATTACGGCTTACAATGCAAAATTACTTTGCAGTTTTGCGTTTTGTTTTTGTATTTTTATTGTTTTTTTTTGTTTAATTTTTTTGCTGTTTTTTTTTTGTTTGTTTATATACTCCTCTCCTCCCTCGCTTGGCCTTACTCGCATGTTTGTTTGTTTATTAATTAATTAGATTTTATTGCGTCGTTTTTTGTTGTTGTTTAATTTTATTAATTTCGCATTTTAGTGTGTATTCAGTATATATATATATATATATATATTATAATACATATATATGTATATATATATATATGCATGCTTTTACACGCGAGCGACATTTTTGAATGTGTGTGTGTGTGTATGTGTATGTGTGTTTTGCTTTATATACATATACAATATATATTTGCATTTATATCATATATATATATATGTATATATATATCTAAATAAATCTATATATATATATATATATATATATATATAAACATATATATATATATATATATTTATGTATGTTGTTTTTATTCCATTTTTGCTTGCTTTTATTATGCTAAGTGTTGCTGTTGTGTGTGTGTGTGTGTGTGTGTGTGAAAAGTGGCGTGTGTGTGTGTGCGTGTGTGAATTCCATTTAGATATTTGCTTTCTTTTTTTAGTTGCTTTTTTGTTGTTTTCCTTCTTCATCTTTCTTAAATGTTTAGTATTGTATTTAAATTAATATTAAGAAACATCCTAACTTCCATTCTTCCTCTTCTTGTTCTCCTTCTCTTTCTTCTCTCTGCTTCTCTCTGTGTTTTGCTGCTTTTTGTTTTTGTTTTTGTTTTTAACGCTTGCCACCCTTAGTTATCATTTTCTTTCTCTTCTTATTTGCTTTCTTCTCATTTCTTCTCATTTCTTTTTTTTGTAAATTTTTATCTGATTTTTGTTTTGTTTTTGTTTTTGTTTTTTGCGTGCTGCTCTTCAGCTGAATTACTCGGTGATGGGAGGTTTGCAGTTCGGTTTCTCTTTCTCCTTTTCGCGATCGTTGCGCGGCTCCAACTGTTCCAGCAGCAGTGCGGGATTCGGCTGGCCCTGGTGGGTCTTCTGCTTCAGCATTGTCCAGTCATAGATGTAATCGTACTGATGGTTCAGCGTTCGGAACAAAATGCTGTAGACGAGACGAATCAACGGGAAACAACATTGAGAAACATTAAGAAACGGTTCGTAAATCTCTTATCAAATGATGTGTGCTTCCTCCCTTCCTGACAGACTGACAGATTGATTGATTGATTGACTGACTGATGCGCAAGTAAGCTTTGAAGCATTTAAATCTTCAATTGGGCGAAAAAAGGTTGAAAAACGAGAGCTGATGAGCCTGGTATGCAGTGTGTGTGAGTGTTGAACCAGCAAGCGTTAACTCGCTGGTTCAAATCCTAAGAAAACTCGAAAACTTCCTTCCTGATTGATGAGCAAGTAAGCATTTAATCTCCAATTGGCTCCAATTGAAAAGCATGAGCTGATGAGCCTGGTGTGTGGGCGTTGAACCAGCAAGCGTAAAGTCGCTGGTTCAAATATAGTTGGCTTTTGCTTGTGTGCTACCTCCCAGACTGACTGACTGATTGATGAGTAAGTAAGCTTCGATGGATTCCATCTCCAATTGGGGTAAAAAGGTTGAAAAACATGAGCTGATTAGCCTGCGTAGCCTAGATGTCTGAGCGTTGAACCAGTAAGCGTAAAGTCGCTTGTTCAAATATAGTGAAAACACGCCAATTTGACTTTTAGTTGAGCGCCTGCCAGTCAATTTGATATGTGGCTTTGACTGAAGTAATTTCGGGTGCCTCTCTCTATCTGGTTGGTATAAGACTAGGCTAGGTATGCTTCTATATACTACTATATACTAAACTCCTACGGCAAGTTTGCCGTTTAGTTGCTTTAACTGCATTTGAGCGAATATTTAAGTAGAACTGCGCATAAAATGTCGGTTCAACTCGCCTTTCCTAACCCACAAGAGGCTGTCTAATGCAATCAAACGTTTCGTTAACTAAGAATAGTTAATTCTTGGCCAATCTAAACACATATTTCCAGCCCAAGCTAACCTTAAAGTATTTCTGAGAGTGTCAAAGGCAAAAGCACATTCCGAAGACCCAACTGAAGCTCAAATCCGAATGTGTTTCACCCATAATCCACCCAGTCGAGCGAAATGAAAAACTACTTTGGCTGGGACAAAGCCAGAGCTAAGCTAGTCGAATGCATACTCACCGGAACAATTGACGTAGGTACATGTAGTCTGGCTGTTCCTCGAAACGCAAGCTACGACAATAGTTCAAGTACATGGAGAACTCGGCCGGTGAGCCCTTGCAGAGCACCTCGATGGGCGTGGACATTTTCTTCTCGGAGATTTTCTCATATTTCTGCTGCTTATTGTTGGCCTTCATGCCCTGCCAGGGCAGGACGCCGCGATTGAAATACATCATCACATAGCCCAAGGACTCCATGTCATCACGGCGCGACTGCTCGATGCCCAGATGGGCATTGATCGAGGCATAGCGTGCGGTGCCCGTCAAGTTCTTGTCCTCGCGATAGACGATGTGATGGCGCGTGCCCGGATCGCGAAACTTCTTGGCGAGGCCAAAGTCAATGAGGAACAGCTTATTGCAGTGCCGTCCGATGCCCATCAGAAAGTTGTCCGGCTTAATATCACGATGAATGAAGCACTTCAGATGTATATACTCCAGGCGGCCGATCATCTGATCGACCAGCATCAGCACGGTCTTGATGGTAAAGTGGCGCGTGCAAAAGTTGAAGAGATCCTCCAGCGAGGGACCCAACAGATCCATCACGAGAGTATTAAAGTTCTTCTCCTTGCCATGATGGCGGATACGCGGAAATCCCACGCCTCCGCTCAGCACGCGATACAGCTTCGCCTCGTACAGCAGCTGGGGATGGCGAGCGCTGGCGCTCTCCATCTTGATGGCCACCTCCTCGCCGCTCTGAATACTCATGCCCAGATAGATGTCGCCGAAGGAGCCGCTGCCTGCAAAACGGTTTGGTTTAGTAACGTATACAAATAGAGGAAGAAGTGTGTGCTAGTCGTGTGTGACCGACTGGTAGATATCCTGTATATTCCTATCGCCACCACAGTATGCGAAATTGATTCCTTATTAACTTTGGCGCTTTAACTACGAGCTATATTCATTTGCCAGGGCTTAGAGCTGGCATAGAAGGTGCGTTTTATATAGACGATCTATATTCTACTTTCAGGGCTTAGACCTGCCTTAGAAGGTGCGTTTTATATAAACGCAAGGCTAGATATAGTTGTAATCTCTGGTTTATCTAGCTCTTATATTTTACGAGTTATGCTTTGAGAAATCAGTCTCAAAATCCATGTTTATAGATCTTATGGAAACTGGAGCATTTATCGACCAAATGATGCACTCAACGTGCGCTTGGAATAAGAGAATATATATTTAAAATGTCAAGCCTTGAACTGATGCTGTTTCCACGTGTTTACACAGAGAGCTTAACTCTATATATAAAACTGTTTGTCCTGACTGATTGACTGACTGATGGACTGACTGATGGGCTGACTGAGTCCATCACTAGCCGTAAATCTAAACAGTTAATGCAAAATACTAAACATGCTCTCTCCCAAACTGACTGATTGACTGACTGACTTACTAACTAGTCAGTTACTAACTAACTGATTGACTAATAGACTAACTGATTGACTGACTGATGGACTGACTGATTGACTGACTGATTGACTAACTAACTGATTGACTGACTGATAGACTAACTGATGGACTGACTGATTGACTGACTGATTGACTAACTGATTGACTGATTGATGGACTGACTGCTGATGGACTGACTGACTGCTGGACTGACTGTCTGATGGACTAACTAATTGACTGATTGACTGACTGACTGATTGGTCATCAACGCACAGCCCATGCCGTAAGAGCTTCGAAGCTGAAATTTTCACTGTAGTTACTTTACGTGATTCGCGCTTATTCGGGCATTCGGCAAATTCCACAAGCATGTGTGGAAAAAACGCAAAAAAACGTTTGTACGAAACTATTTTGTTTATCATCCGATCGGTCTAAAGCTCATTTCGAAAGATCTTTTAAAGAATTGATTTGTAGCACTTGGTTGGAAAGATTAAAAACAACATTTGGAATTCCCTATTCGTTGCACTTTAAACATATTTTTAAATAGAAAATGAGATCAGTCCAAACTTTGCACGGGCAAGGCCGGGCAATACCCGCTAGTCTAGATATATGTAAAAAGGTACGTTCCTTTTATAGCCTATTACAGAGTTTCGCAGGGATAATATCCCTTGGCATAGAAACCATAAACAGACAGTCTGGACTTAAAACTGGAATATATATATATTTCTATATATATAGACTTAATGGGATCGAAGACAGCTCCACAAAGCGTAACACTCACTAAAACCCTTTGTTTTTTATTTTAAAAGCAGACGCACAAACACAATTGTCATATGTTCTGTGAATGATTCAACGGGGAGAACAAGTTGTAAACATATGTGTATATGTATATATATATATATATTATTGAATGTCTCTGCTTACCGATCTTGCGTATCACCCGATATTTGCCGCCAATTATTATCTCGGAACGATGTTCCTTCATCAGCCGCATTTTGTCCATGTTGCTGGGATAATGGCTCCGCCGCGCGTTCGGTTAATTGGGCGACAAAACAATATAAAAACTGTTTTTTATGTATCAACTTCTAGACGAGATCTGTAGAAAATCAAAAAGAAATAATAATCAAAATAAAAACTTCTCTTTTTTTGTTTTTTTTTTTTTTTTTGGTTTATTGGCGCCAACTTTGCACAGAAAAAACACTTTCTTTTTGAGATGTCGCCTTGTTATTTTTTTCTTTTATTATTTTTATTTCGTTTTGTTGCACACACACACAGCACACACACAGCAGACACACACATACGCTTTGGTATATTGTTTTGTTATGGTTTTCGTTAGCCAACACTCTCTTTGGCATTTATGCTTTGCCCTGCGCTTCGTTTTCAACAAAATTGTCTGCTAATATTGCGCATTTTCCATAACGAAATTAACATTTCGAATCGATAGTCGATATATTGAGTGCGTGCATGTGCATGTGTCCATGTGTGTGTGTGCGTGTGTCTCTGTTGGACAACAACAACTATTGCCTGGTGCAGTGTCAGGTGGCCCAGTAGAAGACATAAACAGACTGTGATCGATTATTTATTTTCATAAATGGTCGATTTCTATATAAACATAGCCGCTGATAAAACGATAAACAACTGCGACAACGAGACACACACGCATACACAACTACAATGACAGGTACAACGACACAACTACATGCTCCGCTTCTTTTACCCCGTTGGAATGCACATTACACACACACACACATGCTCACATATGCAAACGCAGCAGCACCAACACTTTAGCATTGATACATACACACACACACACACACACGCACACAGCTGCAAGCAGTTGCTACTACTGCACCTTACATGTTTTTTTCATCGTCTTTTTTTTTTCTTCTTTTTTTTTTTTGAGACACAAAAGAAAAAATTAGTCAAACGTTGGCCCGCATTTGCACGCATGTTGCGATTTGTTTTTTACACAATTTGTATTAAAATTTTTGCAGCTTTGCATCAAATCTTACCACGAAACGTTTGCGAGCAGTTTGAAACTGCTGTGCTGGGTGTTTCTCAAGGTTGGCTTTTTACTATTGTACGATGGGGGGCCCAAAACGAATGACAAAAAAAAAAAATTTTTTTTTTTTATATATATATGTATGCGTGTGTGAAATTTCTTAGGAAATCTGCGTCTGTGACTGCGAGTTGGCCCCGTTAATGCACTCGCAACTGTGGCGTGAACGTCTTTTTGCACTTTACGTACGCGCACAACGGAAAAAAAAGAGGAAATATGTGTATTTTATTAACTAAAATAAAATGGTTAGACTCCAGCAAAAATGCTTTTGCTAGTGCTGACAGCCAGCGATACACGCACGCACGAACTATCGATTGTACAATCGATAAGCAATGGCCAGGCACTAGCCGCAGCCATAGCTGTGCCGCAGCAGTGCTGCATAACGCCGTCCAATTCGGAGCAGTGTGCGGCACCAAATGTTGCCCCACTGCGTTAAGCAAAACAAATCAATATAATTAAATAAATAAATTAGATGAGCATGTGTGTGTGTGTGTTTCGACTTTACTAATATTATTGTATATTTTTAGGGCACGCCTGTCCTAGGCTTGGCTGCTCTAGAGTCTGATATTTGCACAAATATAAACAGGTGGCAGCACCAAAAAAAAAAAGATAAATAAAAGAATAAGTAAACAAGCCTTTGAATATCTAAAAACTATGGCAATGTATTGATTTATATTGCTCTGCAGCATTTAAGAAGAAACTATAAGGTATATTTTTTTTTTTTTTAATTCCCGAAAACTCGGACTATATATAAAGTCATATCCATATGGGTTACTTAAGCTAGAAAACAGAAATTGCAATGAAAATCTTAAAATTCCCACCAAAATTCGGTTAACGATCAGTAATTTTTGCTAGTGAAGAACTAATTTTGCTACACATAAGATGCAGCCATATATATGACCTATATATTATAGCCTGGATTTTGAGGTTAGAGTGAGAATTCCGTTAATATAACCTATATATTATATCCTAGACTTTGAGGTTAGATTGACATTCCCGATCATCAATAAGAATCTGCCTTTCCCGATTTCAACGATTTCAGATGCTGCTAATGCACGAAATAATCGACTTTATTAACAGAAATTATCGTTCTCGAAAACTATATCATGATCAAATATTGATATTCTGTTTTTTTGACCATATTTCGCATATAAAAGCTAGAGATAACGAGTTTGGACTTTCAATTTTTGCATGCCTCCCATGCCACAATAAAAAAAAAAAGCCAGCACCTTGCGCCTTGCTATATAGACACCATAGTATCCCTTTTTTATGCACTGAAAATTTCAAATAGATCCAACAACAAGCAGCCAAGTTATTCGCGACTGTTTGGCAGATGAAGAGTAACGGGCAAAGGTGTTTCGCGTAGGACAGTGTTAAGCTACGTACATACCAAATAGACGGCATCCAGAGCAGGCGCACAGCTCCTAGCATAAAAGGATCTCTATCACAGATTCAGCTCCGGCATATAGGTATATATATAGGTATATATATATTTCGATTCCTTTTTCGCTTGTCGTTAAATAAGTATTTATGTAGTTTTGCTTTGTATCAGAACTGAAATGAAAGACGGAGCACCCTGTGCCAAAAAAAGTTGCCTAGATAACATTTAAATATGTACATATATATTGTGTTTGTTTTTTTGGTCTATATATTTTTATTAAAAACAGTTGTATTTTTGTTTTTTTATTTGGTTTTTTGTTGTTTTTTGGTTGTTTTTGGTTGTTTTTTTTGTAAATAACGTGACGACTTGAAAACAGAAATTAAATAAGTGTACTTTACTCGTAATGTAGTAGAAAGTGTTATAAAAGCAATATTACAATAACTGTGGTAGAATTGGCTCCTAAAATAGATATTTTACAACTGATACCACTTTTTGTCTTTATATTTAAGCATTAATTGATGCGCTGTTCCGCTAAAATCTTGAGCCGTATTCGACATACGCTCGGCGCGCTCCTCCAGCATATTCAATTTCTCGCCCCGCTCCATCGCCAGCTGATGGGCCCGGCTAATTTCCGATGCCGCCGTCGAGGCCCGCTGCCCCATCTGATCCAAATTGGTGCCGGGTATATGCCGGGCAACCGAACGATTCGCCTTCCCGCTCTGTTCACCAACTGTATTACAATTACAATTACATGGAAATCAATATATATATTAAATCGAGTAATTATGCGTTACGTACACAACTCCTCGCGATCCAATTGCTTGGCGCCGCCGCCAAATAGACCCTTAAAGAAACCCTCCTTCGGCTGTTCGGGCATCTCGTGTACCGTGTATAACTCACCCATCATCTCCAAAATAAATTGACTAAAGCGAAAGGCGATTATTGAAATACAATATGTTTACGATTTGATTTGGTTTAGCTTACCAAAATTCCGATGATATCGTGAATTTCTGAATTTCGGTGGGCGATGCCATGTACAATCCATGACCTTTATGACTAAAGCAAAAGATTTTTGATATTCTGTAAGATCGAGAAATAATAGTAACTATTTGGCGGTCTTTTTGAGTAGCTTCAGCTTACTGAGTTGTGTCTTCATGAACAATGATCTGTTGACCCCATATCGATAGCATTGGATCCACAATTCCCTGTTTACATTTCGTTTGAAAACTGCAAGAGATTCAGTTAAGCCAAGTTACACACACACACACATATATATATATATATATAAATGTATATTTATATACCTCAACTCCATTAGCGGCAAGAAATCAGTATCCAATAACAGTTTGAGACTAGGAAGACTATGTACCATTAGATGGCCATTCGAAAGATAGGTTGCTAAGCAAGAGCCATCTGTAGGAGTACAAAATTTAGCAGCAATTTTACAAACTTAACTTAAGCTAGAAATAATATTAAGCTCTGAATACGTGTATATAGCCTGGCAGTGGCCTATAAGGTCAAAGGGTCGATGGGTATATAATGATATAGTATATAGTATATATATAGTACAGTATGGTATGGAATAGTATACTATAGTATATAGTATAGTATAGTATAGTATACTATAGAATATAGTATAGTATAGTATATAGTATAGTATAGTATAGTATACAGTATAGTATAGTATACAGTATAGTATAGTATAGTATAGTATAGTATATAGTATAGTATATAGTATAGTATAGTATAGTATACAGTATAGTATAGTATAGTATACAGTATAGTATACAGTATAGTATAGTATAGTATACAGTATAGTATACAGTATAGTATATAGTATAGTATAGTATAGTATAGTTCCTATAAGAGCTATATGATATAGTGTTTCCATATTGACACATTTTACATGTTATAACAAGCCTCTAGATTAGTTTGTGCAAATTTGAATTTCATCTTAAAAAATCGATAGGAATAGATTTTGTTTTTTACAAGCATAACTCGAGAACTTTACGAGTTAAATACACAAAACTTGCTGTACTATTTACAGCTTGGGAATACTTCACATTTTGGATAGCCCTAAGCCCATTTCCATTGTAAATATAAAACAGAGTCCTGCTTTTACAACTAGAGCCTACTAGAACTAGATCGTGAATACTTCAAACTACGTCTAACAGATCGCCAGGCTATATGAGGTATTTTGATGGGCTTGGGATCTTTCGCGGACCTTTCATCGTGATAGTTTCTGCCTTGACTGCAAAATCCATTTCCGATAATTGTATGCGATTGATGCAGCATTGATTTGCCACATCGAAGACTTTTGTTTGCTTTTCGCTAGCGATTACGATATATTGTCGATCGGTGAGTGTTTCCAGGCCGGTGCTGACGCTGCCGCTGATGCCGCCGCTGCTGCTGGCGCTGCTGCTGCTGATGGCGCCTACAACGCTGCCGACGCCGATGACGCCGCTGGGCGCAGCGCTGCCGCTGCCACCGGGCGCAGCGCCAGGCGAACCGCCGCCAGGCGCCGCTCCTCCTCCACCAACACCGCCGCCGCCGCCGCCGCCGCCAACAACAACACCACCGACACCAGCAACAGCGCTGCTAGCAGCAGCTGCGGCGCCGCTGCCGATGGCGACGCTGCCGCCGACGCCGACGCTGCCCGCAGCCGCTGCGCTGCCAGCAGCGGAAGCATTTGATATTGTATTGGCAGTTGTTGGCGTAAATGTGGGGCTGGTGCGGCTGCTGCTCTTAGTGGGCGTGCCTGCAAGAGAGCGTATACATATATATATATATATATATCAGATTGTTCCGATTGGGATTTAAGTATAAGAAATATGCATATATAGTTACGATCTTTCTTGTCCCTGTTCTCGTCGCGCCAAGTCTCAAATGTGTAGGGTATGATCGAGCCGTAGGAGTCCAAAAAAGACATGGAAGTAATGGAGCCTTTGAGTCGTACCACGGGTCCGCCTTCATGACAAATCATAGAGTTCAGTTTTGCAATTATATAGATTGATATATATACATATATATATGTTTGATAGATAGTTTACCGTTTATTGTAACCAAAACTGGCTGAGATTTGCGCACATCGCGCTCCGGCATTGTGATGAACAATGTCAATATTGAACCGAAACTAGTTCCAATCCATAAAGTAGGAACAAGCGTCAAAATATCTGAAGAAATGCAAATATATATGTATATATGTATACTATATATCTTTAAAAGAGTTGCTCGCAATTGACTAGGGCTAATTTTCTTTAAATTTTATTGACATAGCACTCTCATCATTGACCGATAATTATCGATCAATTTATCGCTTTCAATCGATTAATCCATCTAATTTGTTTAGTTTGTTTTATTTTATTGAATTTTGCTAAAAAAAAAAACAAAAAGAAAAGAAAAGCCCAGCAGTTTCATTATTAATCGATATTTATCGATAAATTTATCGTTTTAGTCGATACGTCTCTCAAATTTTATTTTTGTTCGTTTCATTTGATTGATTCATGCTAAAAAAGTTCCGCATTTTCATTATTGATCGACATTTATCGATAAATTGATTGCTATCAATCGATAACTCTCTCCAATTAGTTTTTGTGTTTAATTTGATTGACTTTTGCTGGTAAGCCCCAAAAATATGTAAGCACTATCATAACTGATCGATTTTCGCGATTAATTTACCGCTTTCAATCGATAACACTCTTAAATTGGCTTTTGTGTGTTTCATTTGATTGATTTTGGCTAACAACATTGAGGAAAAATTGAGCTCTACTGTAATTGATCGATATATATCGATAAGTTGATCGTTTTTTGCTTTATGCGCAGTTGTTGAAACTTTCGCAAACCTAAAAAGCATGCTATGAAAATTTTAAATATTTGTGGACTTCACTTTTCACTTTTCTTTGAC